GCAAGATTTGAAAAAATAAATGAATATTTAGTAAACAGTTTTATGTTCTAATATTTAAAGTGTATATCTAATATTTATAGCATACATCTATTGAAGTTCTACATATATCTAACTAAAATATAACGTAATGCTAATTATCGATTAATAACGTAATGATCAATATATTGCGATTTTGGTTAGTTTGATGATAATCGATAATTTGATCTATATCAATTTCATTTCAATTATCGTTAATAATTGATTTTTGATATATATCGATTTATAACAAGTTAATTGATATATAACGTTTAATTTTAATCGATATAAATCGATTATGTATTATATATCGCTATAAATCTACTTAAAAAATTTCGTGATGTAACTAATGTCGGCACAAAAAAAAAGCTTTTGCTTTTGTCCTAAAGAGTTACGTTCTAAGATTATAGATATGATGGAAACTCACATGCACCTTCATCCATTAATTCCAAATGCTAGCAGGTTTTATTTGTCAGCAAGTGAAATTTGGAAACAATTAACAAAAGAAATTTATGAACTTTGTGTTAATCACAATTTAAGACTTCTTTGGAGTTATTTATAAAAACACTGGTACTATAAAGAAATCTGGAATCTGTGAGCCCGTTCTGCATATAACAATATTTGCATATTTCATACTACTATGTTATATGAATCTTATTGGAAAGTTCTTAAGTGGGATTTCTTACCAAAATTTTTTAGACCATGTCTTGATTTATTAACATATATTATTGTTATTCGTTTAATTCCACATAGGGTTCGAGGTATGGGTAAAAAATCAGGTATGCCTTTGAGGGCATGCCCTAAGTTGCGGCATGCCCCTTGTGCCTATAAGCATGCCCTTCTTATATAGAAAACTAGTGCTTCATAAATGTTTAATGTAAAAAAATTCTGTTGCTAGAATTATAGTAATTTATTGTAAGTTAGTGTAAAAAATTTTTCTAGTGATACATAGTATGTAGTTGATTAAAGTATGTGATTAATAAAGTTTAGTTAGTCTGCATTAAAAATATTATGATTTTTTATTATGAGTTACTGTAAAAAATTCTTGCTACATATTCTGGTAACTACTGTATATTTATTTCTATTTTTATTATTGAAAAATTCTGTTATAGAACTCTATTATGACTTACTGTTACAGAACTTGCATTTTGGTGACCACAATATGTAGTTAAGATTGCATAATTTCTATCATAATTACTATAAAAGATTTTTACAGAACTTCTTAAATTTTGTTGTTATTATACTAATTAAAATATTAAAATATTTACAACTCTGATGACCCACTATGACATGCTGGCCAATCAGATATGACACACATATCACATGACTAGGGCATGCCTAACGGCCAAGGGGCATGCCCATAGGCATACTCCCAAGGCATACCCAAAAGGCATGCCCATGCCCCTGTGCCTCGAACCCTAATTCTACACCATAGACAACAATATAATAAATATTATTATAAATGCAAAATGCCTTCTTGGCAAAAAAACTTAAAAAAAGAATAGATTATATTAAGCAAAAAGCAAATTAATCATAATTATGCAACTGATGTCAAAAAGTGGATTTGTGGATGTCAAGGATTTTTAATCAATTGATTTTTTTTATGCAAACATTTAATTCAAGCATCTCAATTTACAATCAATATATCTTTTTTTAAGAATATTCAACGGCAAAGAGTTTATTCTTTTCTATTTTTATCATCGCAACAAGACTCTAATGCAGGTAAATCAAGTTTTTACAAATTAAACCTTGTTTTTTACATATTTGATTTTTGTTTGATATTTTATAAATAAAAATTAATATACTAAATATGTTTATTTATATTAAATAGATGATACTATAATTACCAATTCAATGAATGAAGTTCAATCTATGTCTACACCATTAATGCACTCTAATACAGATTAAAACTTGGTTTAATTTTAATTTATTTATTTAAGTGATACTATGATAATTATTAATTTAATTAATTCAATTGATCATAAAGATAATAAAGTTCAATTTATGGCAAGTAAAATTATATTCTTCTGTATTAAAACTTGAATTTGTAACAATTAATATAAAGACTTGAATATGTGTATATATTTTTATTTATTTAATAATAGATGATATTATGAAAATTGATAATTCAAATAAAAATAATAATAATGAACAAACGCAACTATTTGAAGAATATAAATCCGTACTTCTTGATGCATTTAAAATTGTACAAGAACAAGAAAACGCTAATAATATACAATAGGCACGGTCTGTTCAAGGAAGTTTTAAAGGCATACAAAGTTTAGTAGCAGATATTCAATCTTACAAAAGAAGACTAACCAACTCACATACCTGGAAGAATCATAATCAACATACAATATTTTTAAATTACTGATAAAATGTAAGTATTTAATAAATATTTCTGTTTTGTTTTATCAATTCAAATTTCAATCTATAAACATAATAATGGATATTAAAGGAAGATGATGGCAAGACAACTACCCAACACAAAGATAATGTGAACATATACAAATTATTATTTTTTTGCAAAGTATATCAACTATATATTAACTATACAATTTGTGATAACAATTTAAAGCTGCAATTTTCTTGAATGAATTTGAAAGCAGCCACTAAAAACTTTAATTTAATATATAAATCACTAAGTTGCTTTCAGAAAAAATATTACTGTAATCGCTTTTTTCATTATGTAAAATAAAACATTTGGTAGGCACTTAATTAAATTTATTGTATGTGGCCATGTTATTGAACATATATAAATTTATGTATTTAATTATAATTAGTTTAGAATCAAAAAGCAGACTAAATATTGAAATTAAATTAGCATTTTCTAATAATTCTCTCGAAGTTTGTTAATAAATTAAAACAACAAAAATTTAAGTCATAGTAAAATTTTTTTAAATTTTGAATGAAGATATCTCGACAATCAATAAACCAGATTTGATATACTTTTTGTTTTTTTTGATTTTACATATTCATAGAATTAAAATAAAAAAAATTTTATCGAATTTTATTTGAAGTTGTTAAGATATCTTTGTTCAAAATTTGCCAATAAATTAAAATGTTTATTAAAATTAAGTTGCGATTAAACTTTGATCGAAGATATCTCAACAACCAACAAACCAAATTCAATAAATTTTTTTTGTTTTGATTCTGCATATTCATAGAGTCAATATAAAAAATTTTCATTGGGTTTGGTTCGGTGAGTATCGAGGTATCTTTGTTTAATTTGTAAAAAAAAAAAAAAAAATTTATGTATTGATCTACATCATATACACACAATTTTATTGGCCAAAATCTTGTATAACCAAAAATTTTTGGTGGTGCTATTGGGGTAGTTATAGGGACAGTGCAAAACACATGATTTTATATAAAACCATCTACTCTAACCGCTAACTGACCAATCATGTAGTTTTGTACTATCCCTAAGCACTGTCCGTAGACTTTTCGGGGACTTTAGACTAGAGTCACTCATTTTCTGCTGCGGCCGAATCAAAATTCTGCTTTAATCGAATGAGGTTTAGATTCTGATTTTAAAGACTTAACTTTAATTAGATTTATATGCATAATAGATTTTAATATTGTATATATGTCGTATCTAAAGTTACTATCTATCTGAAGTTGCAACTTTAGATATATAAAGTTGCACCTGACCGGAATTATATGTATGAATATCTAATTTCAGGGGCTTAATTTTAGTCAGATCAACTTTATATATCTAAAGTTGCAACTTCAGATAGATAGTAACTTTAGATACAACATATATATACTCTATTAGTATAAATTTCACTTAATGAGATAATTGAAATAATATCAAATTATTCAAATTGAATTTTGTATAACATATAACAAAAAGCATTTTTTACTTATATACAGTCAAACCTCTCTATAATCACACACTCGGGATACAAAAATGTGTGATTGTAAAGAAGTGTGACAGTTATAGAGGTCAAATTTAATATATTTAATAATAGTTTGTTTTTAAAAAAATATGCTTATAAAGAAAATGTGCTTATATAGGAGGTGACTATAGAGAGGTCTGACTGTACATATTATTTCAAAAACATTTTTGTATTATACTTTTGATAAAAATGAAATTTTGTAACATTGGATTAATGTTTAGAAGAACAAGTCACATCTACACCACATGCAACGATTTCGACCCAATATCCATCTGGATCACTAATAAAAGCGATATTATTCATCTTACCTATTTAAATTCAAAGAATAAAGTTAATATTCATAATATTCATATAAATAATCTTGAAATCACATAATCTTATCATTTACCATCTTGTAACTTTTTGATGAACTTGACACCACATTTTTCAAACCTAGCACAAGCAGCTTCAATGTTGTCAACACTAATTGCAATATGGCCAAATCCACGAGGATCTTGATTACCATTATGATATTGAAAATTAGAATCATTTTCTGTACCCCAATTGCTATTTTGAAGAGTTTAATTTGATTTTATTAATTAACTTTTAAAAATTCACATTCTCAATAATAAACGTAAAATATCTGATATTGTTCATACTGTGTTAATTCTAAAACTGCTTCTCTGGAAAAGATATACTTGTTTTTTTCTTCATGAGATTCGGGCAACTGTTCATGACAGTATGCAAGAAAGTAAAGTGTAAACTTGGATTCGTTAAAGTCGACTTTATTGATAAGTCTTGATTTTCGTTGCAAAAAAAAAAGGGTTATAAAAAAAAAAGGATTATAAAAAAAAAAGATCATATATCAGACAGTCCATTGAATTGATTATGATATTACTTCATTCCCAAAACTTCCTGATAGAATTTAAGCGAAACTTTTGGATCCTTAACTCGGATCATGGTATGGTTCTAAAAGGTGTAAATTTTTATACAATTGCTTTGCTTAGAGAAATTCTGTTAACAAGTATTTTGAAACATATCATCAAACGAAGTATAGTCTTATTCTTACAAAACGGTAGGTTGAAATGTCGGTGGCCATTGCTAATTACATTCAATGCGGGAATTATAATTTGCAGTGATAAGAAATTAGAGTCCGACACAGAGCTTTTTGATAATTCTGTAATTGGGAACGTGTAGAGATGGACATGATGTAATATGCAGATATGTGGTAATTTATTTGCAAAAAAATGAGATCAAATTTGTAGGCATCTACCTCAATAAAGAATCTGATTGGCAAGCTTGATCAAACAGATCACCCATTAAAGTAGGTGCTTGAGAATATCCACAATCACATGACGATGTTTAGCGAATGCGCTTTAGTGAATTCTTGATAATAAAGAATTTGAAGAAACAGATTTATTAAAATTTAGCTCGATAGTAAAGTATATTTGTTCGAATATAAGTTAAAATGAAGATTTTTCTACCGAATATGCGCAAAGTTTTTAAGTAATAAACCCTTACGTTAGGGTTAGAATTATGACCGAAGTAAGACTTAAAATATATCAAAATTTTTGCAAGGAGTTTTTTTGCTAGTGCGCAAAAGGTGACTTACAGTATCGTGCAATTTTTAAAAAACGTGATTTTCACGATCTTGAGATATTGTGTTGTTATTAGAAGAGATCTGATTGGTATATCTTTACGATCCTGACAAAATTTTAAATTTGCATTTTGTTAAAAAATCGGGCATTACTTTTGGTGACTACTGTACATAGGAAGTTTACAGTAACTGTAAAAATTTTATTACAAAACTTTACCAACTATGCAAAACATACAATATGTCATTTAGTTTGTATTGAATTAACAGTCGTGATTTCCATCAAAATTAACTGCCTTACTAGCTGTAATGATACATAGTATATCAGATATAGTCAAAGTTGGATTAGAATTAACGATCACAATATATTATTAAAATTAATAGTCGTGATTTCTATAATGATTTAAATATTTTGTTATATACAAAATTTATATGGTATGTTAAGTGTTTGCAAACACTGTAAATAAATAAAACGATAAATTGTAATACGTATCCATTTTTTTATTTATTTTTTTTAATCAAAAATGTTCAACGAAAATTTGACGATAATTTCAATAATCTGAATTTCAACGATTGTAAAAAATTAGCAGATATGAACGATCCAGACGGAATTTTCTGGCTTGGATATTGTTATGAATATGGAATTGGAATTGAAAAGGATGAAACAAAGCATTCACATATTATCAAAAATCGGCAGAAGTGAATAATTCTAACGGAATGTATCAAGTTGGTTATTGTTATTATTTAGGAATTGGCGTCGAAATCGATAAGCATAAAGCGTTTACATATTATCTGAAGTCTGCTGAGGCTGGTAATTCTCTAGGAATTTGGAAAACTGCCATTTGTTATTATTATGGAATTGGCGTGAAAAAAAATGATGATAAGTTTGAGGAATGAATTAAGAAGTAATTTTAATTTTTTTTTTTTGTAATTTCTTTATTTGAAATGTATAGAGCTCTTACCCGGGTCAGAAAATACCGACCCGGGTCAACGGGTCAAACGGAAATTCATAAGGTTTTTGAAGTTAATCCTTAAAATTTGATGCAACGATCTTAATTAGAGTAGAAAACAGCTTACTCTAAATATTTAAATTAGAATTTTTCGGATTTTGTATTGAAAAAAAATTTCGATCTTGCTCGTGATTTGAGTTCGCCCATTTTCTACCTCAAGACGACCCGGGTATAAGCTTTACTATTTTTAGTGAGTTTTTGTCTATTTTAAACTTTGATCCGTTTGACGCGTTTACTAATTTCCCCCAAAGTTTCGATATTGACCAATCATAATGCAAGATCAGGTGTAACGTGAAGATCAAAAGTCACACTTATCGCAAAATTTCGGCTAAGAAATCACCCTTTATGCACTAACAAAAAAAAATTCCTTGCAAAAT